AGCACAGTCACACAACACCAATGTATGTTGTCATAAAATACGAAACCAAAATTCAAAACATAGGTCGAGAAACATAAATGACAAATTCGAGAGTAAATACTACATAACATAAGTTGGGCTTTAGATTTGGCCCATTATCACATTGATGTCAATTTTGTCGTTTTTGTATCTCAAGCAATGTTATGACAACATACATTGATGTTGTGTGAGTGTTCTAGAGTTTTTTTCAAAGTTTTATGAACATTTTGAAACGTGTGGAGCACTGGTAGCACCGCAAGGGTGGGAGCGCCCGATACATTCCCCCCATGCAGCCATGGTCAAAATTGCGAAGGAAATTTTGTTGGGGTCCCACCCCCCACCCAGAGAAGATGTTTGCTAGCTCCAACACTGACGAAAATTGCAGATGCCGATAAGTTGATGAACAAAAAGTGGACATGTCTGAACCAAGAAAAGTAGTAGGTTGTTGATTGTAATTCTATGAGTTGAGTAATACAAGTTTTTAACCCGCAAAAAAATAATAATTCATACAAGCCTAGGATTTCACAATTATACGCTGCTATTTTGTTCGAAGAAAGTGATGGGGCCGCATTCTACATCTTGTATGTTTCTCGATCGGGGGTTCCCTCAAAATCTCAACAATTTTAAATTTCAATAGCGGACCCCTCGTGAAAGGCCGGTGCTGTATCTTCATTGGCAGGAGCGGTCGTGGTCGATTCCCTCTTCTTGGCTTTCTTCTTGAGGGTCTCAACTAAGCCTGCCAAGCAAGTGTCCGTGTCCGTCTTGGTCTTGTTGCATTTGGCAGCAATAACTTCATCGGTGTCCCTCTTCCTCTTGTTGCACTTGCGCATGAGGGTATGCGCCACGTCAGCGGGCGATATGTCGGTGTGGTGTAGCAGCCGCTGGATCTCGCCGAAGAGCTCGTGATCGTTTACCTGGAGGTAGTTGTTGGCCAGCACCTTGAAGGCCCCGAAACGGCAGTAGGACATCCTGATGTGCATGTCCATCCTCCCTCGACGGATTAGCGCCGGATCAAGCGTGTCGACGTGGTTGGTGGTGAAGACGATGATCCGCTCGCTGCCACTGGCCGACCATAGCCCGTCCACGAAGCTGAGCAGTCCAGAGAGCGTCACCTTGCTCCCGTCATCCTTGCTGGGGTCCAACTCCGCCGAGAGGAGGTCGCTGCTGCTGCTGCTGCTGGCCCTTTTCTTGCGGCTCCTAGCGAGGTCGACCTCAATAGCATCGATGTCCTCAATCATGATGATGGACTTGCCTTTGGTCTCGAGGAAGAGCTTCCTCAGCTCGGCGTTGCTCTTGATGGAGGTGAGGTCGAGATCGTAGACGTCGTAGTTGAGCTTGTTGGCCATGGCCGAGACCAAGGTCGATTTGCCCGTGCCAGGTGGGCCGTAGAGCAGGTACCCACGCTTCCACGCCTTTCCCACGTCAGAGTAGTACTTCTTGCCGCCGGTGAACTCGTCGAGATCGTTGATAAGCTCCTCCTTCTGGACAGGGTCCATGGCGAGCTTGTCGAAGGTCGCCGGGTGCTCGAAAGGCACGTGGCTCCAGGTGCTCTTGTTTCCCGGCCGGTGGTTCGTGTACAGCCGCCTCTTTCTGCCCCTGTTGGCGATGATCCCGTGGCCCTTGTCTAGGGCGAAGGGCATGTATTTGGTGAGCACGACATCGCGGTGGCGCTTGTGGAACACTGCACGGAAGACCCGGGGCTCACTTTCGGTGGGGAAAAGGTTGAAGACGGGTCCCCGGCTCCGGTAGCTTGGGCCCTTGTTGGACGCGTACCACCAGATGCGGGCGCCTTCGTAGTCGTCGGTCACCTTCACGTTGTCGTCCAGGGTGATCTCCGGGATCTTGCCGTCCTTCCCGAGCGCCATCTTAAGCTTACGGGCGTCGCGAGCGCACGCGTCGGTGAGGTAGGCGGAGATGTGGTCGAAGAGCTCGTTCCGGCGGAACTGCTCGTCGCTTTGCTCGGAGATGCTGAGCTGGATGTAGGGGTTGAAGTAGGCGGCGATGATCGGCGCCCACTTGGTGATGAAGTGCCTCGCCTCGCCGTGGATGCGGTCAGGCATCCTGGAGCACAGCAAGGTGAAGACGGTCATGGCCGTCCCGACCCCTACCCACTTGTCCATAGGTGCCATGTGGACTAGCCCTGTTCGAAGTCCCTCCACTCCGCCGGTCCAGTCCAGGAGCAGGGGAGCTGCAGTTAAAAAGCACGGACCTGCAGTCCCTCCACTCCTCAGTATTTTGAGAAGCTGGTGGGTTGCCGAACACTGCCTGGCTCAATATATTAACTAAACAGTAGCTAGCTAGCTAGGTTATTTGGCCATGAAAAAGTTGGAGCTCGGGATCGATTTATATAGTAAGAGCGTGCAAAGGACGACGTACGCACACGAACCGCGTCATACGGTCGACGACACAATGGATGGACGGTTTCGTGGAAGCATCGAGGATATGTCGCCGAATGCTCGTAAATTTGATTAGGTGAGGAGTTGCCGTCCAAGACAAAAATGCTATACATACAAAAACTTACACGCTCCTTTCATCTAACAACCAATCACAAACCTCTCCTTCCCTGATTTTCAGAGGGTGGGCCGCACCGCTCACCTATTGACCAATCAAGGTTAACCATCCTGTAAAAGCCTCTAAATCGTTTGTACGTGTAGCATTGCCGCGTCCAAGATGACAAGCCCCCATAGGTACATATATAGTGGAAAATTGTTACAGTTAAACTAGTTCTAGAACCAAATTAATACAGGGACAACTCTACGATCTTACACCCTGTTGAGCCTCCCTCAGTTGTTAGACGGGTGTGTGCTTATCAATGAAAGAATTACTTGTCATATGCCTAAAACCTTAATCGTGGGGTTTGATCTCCAGTCGGACTGGTAGTAAAGCCACATTCTAAATCCGAGTAATGCTACACCTACGAAATTCATCCTACGTGATTTACATAAGAGCTTAGCTGGAAGTTTTTGGTTGGCTAAAATCAGGGGAAGGGCCCCCGCCCACTTGAATCGGGGGGTTGGGGTGTGAAAAGATTAATGAGGAAGGTTACATGAGGGTTCAGTAAAGCTTTCGTAGATGTAGCATTTTTGCTCTAAATCCCAACCATCCAAACCTAGTTCTCCTAACATAGGAGTGATTTTTTTTTCCTGAAACGCCTAAGAGCATCTACAACTGCCATGGGCAAATCCGGCCCCACAAATGCCCGTGGACGTGCTCGGGCGCGTCCGCAGACACTAACCAGTCATGCCTCAAATAATACAAACCACATCCGGATAACTCAAATTACAAACCTCAAATCCATATTATTACATGCAATGTAGCGATTTTGAGTGGAGCTCGTCCGGTCGCCGTGGCCATGTCCGGCGGCTGACTGCGCTCCCCAGATTGGTCCGGACACCGGCAAGGTTGAGTAGAGCATGGGACACGAGCCGGCTCACGGGACTCAAGGCACCGCCGTCTCCCATGCCCTACTCTTCCTCGTCGGAACGAGAACACGTTGGGTGCCAGTGAACATCAGATCGATGATGAATCCGATCTGGGACAAGCCAGCGACATCCACCACGACACGGTGGCGGCGGCTGAAGTGGTGCACCATACGGGGCGCCGGAGAATGTGACTCCGCCTCGCCGACGTCCACCGCCGCGAGCGCTGCCATCGCCTCCCGCGGTCGCTGCCTCGCACGCAGGAATGCCCCGCCATGGTTGCGTCGGGCGACACCCATGGTGCATCCATGACCTCGGCGCACCAACGGAGGGGTTGCGCATTCGCCACCGCTTTTGGACGCTAGACGGACCGCACCGCCTCGGGTGAGGCAGCGACGGCTACCCTAGCGCTGGATCCATGTGCCATTTGGGCGGACGCAATGGATTCCCAACGGAAGGAGTCCGAGTGCTGTCGTGCATGGGCCTCCTCCCAGGAGCGGCGGAGCGCAAGCTAGACGGCCAACTCCTCCTCGGGGCTATGTGGGATGTGCTCGGGGTCGACGAATTTGTAGGTGAAGGACTCGGATCCGCTGCCCGCCATTGCCATAGATGGTCGGAAGACGCCGGAGACCAGCTTGGGTGGCGGAGGAGAGTGAAGGGGGGTGGAGTGAAGTGGCTAGAGTTTGGTCCGGCGAATTGATGAAAAGAAATATATGTGGGATCGGCTGGCCAGGTTGGGCCGGGTGCGATGTAGCGGTGTGCCGCGGCGCCCTACATCCGCTCCATATTTGGACTGGATATGAGGGGTGCCGGCGCATTTAAAGTCCGTTTGAGGCGTTAGTCTGGGTTAGATTTTTGTTACTGGTCAGTAATCGGGCGGGCCGCCCAAACGTTTGAGACCGGCTTGGGGTACCTGGCTGTAGATGCTCTAAAGCCATATATTAGGGCATCTCCAATGGAGAGCCACTTGTTTGGACACATAGGAAATAAGAACATTAACTAAGGAAGTGGCGGCTATGTAGGAGTCCGTTCGTCCAACGCAGGAGGGATTGTTTAAGCGCTAACAGGACTAATTTTCTACGTAAAGAAATATCTGCCGGGCCCCCCGCGCGTGAAGAAAAGGGACGAGGCGTCCGGCGCCTAGCCTGGCATGGACGCCAACCAAAAACACAGGATCATACGGGATTTATGATTTGCACAAGACGTGCATTTATGATTTTTTTATTTATGTTTGTATGCCATGCTGACTAGTTATTTAGTCGACTGATCATGCTATTCACTACAGGACTCGCGGGCTATGCCAACGGCCAAGGGCCGTCGGCATAGGTCCTCTGCCGTCGGCATAGATCTATGCCTATGGCTGCCGTCGGCATAGCCCCGTCGGTGTAGATCACGTCAGTGTAGATGTGTCAGACCGTCAGCGTAGTATAGCCATCGGCATAGGTGCGTATGCCGACGGTCGTGGGACGGCCGTCGACATAGTTTTGCCGTCGGCGTTGTTTTTCGTCTGACGGCAACGGACGGCGCCGTCAAAAGCGCTAGCGAACGAGGGGACGACACGTGGCGTAGGGACGACACGTGGCGTAGGGACGACACGTGGCGTAGGGACGACACGCCACATGTCGTCCCCTGGCTTCTCCTGGCGGCAGGGCTATGCCTACGGCACGTGGCGCGTCCTGGTAGCTCCTGGGCTTATCTATGCCGACGGCTTTGCCGTAGGCATAGTTTTTTTCCCTGTTTTCACTTTTCCAATTCATTTGACAACATTTCAAAGCAGAATAATATGGAATTATGCAGAAATATGACAATTCATCATCTAAACATACTCAAGTTCATCATCATCATTTAAACATAGTCAAGTTCATCATCTAAAGATCATCACCGGCGAAAGTTCATGAACATAAAAGTAGTGCAAGACATGGAACATCATAAAAGTTGGAACATGAAAGGCATGTCACGACGGCCGCATGCACGGAATCATCATCGACACATCAAGCAAGACCACCTCCGCCAAAACCACCACCACCACCAAGTCCACCTCCGCCAAAACCACCACCACCAAGTCCACCTCCACCAAAACCTCCACCGCGACCACCATCACTCTGACAGATCGGAGTGACTGGGGTCGACACAGCAGGAGTCGAGCCGCTGGTCCCTTACATGTTTGAGAGAAGATTCTAACGGTAAATATGACATGATAGTGTTGAATGAACGAGAACTAGTTTCTCAGTAGTTAGGCAAATGTACTAACCGGACTATCACCGCCTAGTGCCACCCATTCCTCGAACGTGGGAATGTGTGGGGCTTCTCCCGCAGGTGGTGGTGGGGGTCCAACTTGTGGTGGCTCCGTGCGGTTAGACCAAGACGCCAACATAGCCTGGATGTTAGTTAAACAAGCAAACTAGAAAGTCAGAAGGAATGAAAGTGCAAATTTGAGCTTGGTTTTAAGAGGGCAACACTAACCGCCATCACTTGACGGTTGTAATCATCGTTTGCCTTCACTTCTTGCAAGTACTCCCGCACCTCAATATGCCTATGCTCGAGAAAGGCCTGATATGCCTACAAAATTGAGGTTGTTTCTAAGTGGGCAGTGCTGAAAATAAACTAAAAAGATAGAAACAAAGAAGACAAGGGGAAAGTACTTACAGCATGTTGGCGGACTAAGGGAGGCTGCGAACGCCCCGTACTCTCTAACGGGCTCGGGTTGGTAGCTCGAAGCCGTGTGTACGAGATCGACGGAGTGATCTAGCCATCGAAACACGGATACCGGCCATGGGACTTACCTTGGATGGCCACCACCGCCGTGTCATCGATCTCAGACTTGGCGACCTCAGGAACGGGAACATCTGGATGCAACTTCTGATAGTTCTAAGTGTAAGACTCCAGGTGCTGCTCAGTGTTGCCGTAGTACTGGCTCTCGCCGTCCTTGCGATCACTCCCCTCGCGGGCCAGCTTCCACGACTCCATGACTGAGAGCGGCCTCTGCAACTTGTCCTCCTGCAACGTCAAACAGAAGTTAGCCATACATAAGAACATGATGGTAAAGAAGAACCAAAATGCATCATGCATATAGATATACCTTCATGGCCTTGAAGCCCCAGTGGTTCCTGTTTCCTTGGCCGTGTGTCCCGTCTTTTCCATGGTTAGCTCGGGCCTTGATGCTCTAGGCAGCAAACTCTGCATCGTCACCAACCCACCTATCCACCAAACACGTCCATCTGTCATGCCTTCCATAGCACCAATGAGGAACAACCTATGCAGATTTTGGAAGCATGACATGTGAGCACGAAACATATAGTTGACTCCTTGAAACAATGAAAAGTCAGTTTCCCCCCTCCCGGTGCCGGTGGCGGCGCGTCCGTGAGGGGGGCCACGCACCGGAGACGCGTGCCGCCTCTTCGGACATGCCACAACACCACCCCGCATGTGCCCGGTACGACGCTCCGGTGGCATTGCTACCCCCAGGGCCCCCGTCCCGACTAACCTAGGAGCGATTGACCACGAGATCTAGCCCTTTGACTTCACACGGACGGGCTTTGACCAGTGGATCTCTCCACCCGGTTGTGTCAGGTCCGCCCAGAGGGACACCGGGGAGCAACATCCGGGCCAAACCCACAGCTAAATCCACTCCGTGTAGACCCAATGCGTCAGTTTCCCCCCTCCAGGTGTCGG